ATTAGTCAGGGAAAATAAAAAGTAATTGTTAAAAATTCATGTAATTAATTTTGATCAATATACATTTATTACATATATAAATTTTAAGTAACTATTAATATAATTCGAGTTTTTTTCCATACTTCGTAAATCTAATTTGCAATTACGGGGGTTGGTGTGCAGAGCGCGTAGGGGGCATATATAGTTATAAGAGCTTAGAAATATCTATTGACACATATAAGATAGACAGCTTATTTAAAAAAGGGAGCCACTAGAAGAAATAATAAAGCTTACCAACAAAAAGTCAAGGGCACATCTCTCTGTCTATATAAATTTCACCACTTTTATTTGAAATCAGCAGCTTGTTCTTTATATTTCTCCAAAAGCAGACCAGTAATCATTCCCTATCGTAGAAAATTCATTCCCAAATATTTTCGAAAAATGCTATAGTCTTTCGAATTCTGTAAAATATACTTCAACATATTATTTTTATACTAACAATTAATTTTATCATTTTTTAAGGCTTTTAAAAATATTTATACAAACTTTTTTTCGAAAAAATTACACTTATAACACAATAAAAGGGGGGGTTGGCGCGCGAAGCGCTCAGGGGGCGGATCCCCACTAGTATATATATGTAATACTGCACATCATTTACTGTATTATGAAAAAGTAAGATAGTTGTTAGCTATTAACTCACACTGTAAAAAGAAATACTAATGTGTAAAGACAATATTTTATGTGAATGTAACCATAGCTATATTCAAATTGTGTAAAACACATATCTGTAAAATGCCAGACGAGTTTACCAGGCGTGTGACGTCTACCCACAGTCGGTAACAAATACCAAATAGTGTTCATCATTTTTTGAATACTTTAGACAATATGTGTTTAACATAGAGATATAAGGGTCTTATACATCTAAGCGTGTTTAAACCTGCTGTACTGACGCTATCTACCGGACATTCACCTCGACCTCCACTCTGACTTAACATACCTTCTTTATATGTATTTATGTATATGGTGACGCCACAGCCTATCACGAGTAGTGATGGAAAAAGATATAGACGGGGCCCACAGCGTTCTCTCTCTTCTCCGATCTCGCTTCAGCCGCTCTCTTGTGTGCTCTATTTTTATATCTGTATGGTTCCAGCGAATGAGAATTAAATACATATTCAATGCCACATGGCTTTCCTGATGGTATTACAGAAGTAATAACACATGGAATTTCGTCTTTTTTTTTCAGGTGGTACCATGTATAGTAATACTACTAGTGTTGGCAAACACCACCATATTTAGTTGTACTACTAGTGTTTGCAAATACCACCATGTATAGTGACACTGCTAAGGTTTGCAAACCATTGGCATGTAAAAAAATAGACAGCTAATCGTCATTTCTGTGTATGTTTCAAATATCACTAAACATAGTTATACTACTACGTCTGCTTGGTGTTCGTTTCCTATGTGACACCTGATGCGAGAAAGTTAAACTGACACAAAATTTTTGAAAAATTTACTGTATACTGAGTTACTAAGTAGGCAACGAGACAATGGGAGTATCTGTGTATCTTCTGATGCTTAGTTTACTGACCTCCCCGACGTTGGTGGTGTGCAAGAGAGACAGATACCCACGCTCAATGCTGTGTCTCTTTCTACTTATGCCTTAGCGCTTTACGAGCAGTCTACGTTTCTTGGATGCTTTCCGTAAGCACTGGCCGTTTAATCCATGTGTTTCGATAATGTGTGGATAACTTTTAGTGCGAGAGAGATTACACGTCATACTCATATACTCATAGACATATATTATAAAAAAAATAGACTGCTTGTTTTCATGTACAGCGCTGAAGCACAAAAAAAAAACACAACATTGAACGTGTATATCTGTCTCTCTCGCACATTGCCAAAGGTGGGATCGTGCGAGAGAGACCAATAGCCACGTTCGATGTTGTGTCTCAGACTTGTGAAGTTGGCGCCCGTAAATATTAAATATTAATATTTTGCACCCATTTAGGGCTTTAACGATTCCTCCCTACTGGCGGATTTATCCTCCACTTGAATTTTTATTTGCGGATCAATAGTTTGCGAGATATTTGCAAAATAATAAGTCGAAAATGGGCGCGGCGCTGAAGTATAAAAAACTTTGTTTTAAGTGCTAAATTGGGTTAAAATCAAATTCAACCTGTTTGATTCGATTCCTCCTCATTCGCGAATTACGGAGGTATATAAATTAATGTAATTAAATGTCACAAAGTTTGTAAATGATGAATTTAATTATTGAGTGAGAGAATCTAGTAACTTTTGTCTAGTGACTTTTGGTCCAGTGCTCCGTTCTTGTTGTTCGGTACTTGTCGCTTACTCCTTACAGCAGGTTCTACAAAATATTTATCAGAATAGAAAACTTTAGTAGGTATTATTCTATTAATTATCAGTTATAAGTTATTCAGCCTTCAGGTCAATACACATACACACACACATACATTTCATACTTCAAGCTCAAGGAAAAATTTATTTGTCAATAGGTACAGATTTTTCATCTTAAGAATCTAATGTCGGGAATCTATTGTGGCAAATACTGTGATCTGATATTTATTCATTACGCGCGAAATTTTAATATTTGTTGTTATTCAAGAAACAAATAACAACACACCTAAAAAGTAGCAGTACAGCTATAATCATCCCAAGAAAAGCCACAGCTAAGCACACAAGTAATAATTTTGTTTGGACAAGTTTAAGAAAACGGCTCAAGCATTCAAATTTCGCGCGTAAATGATCAATCAGGCAAATTGAAGATCAAGTTACCGACCAGTGGAAACGGATCAAAGTGACACAGGCTGTGTTCGCCTAAGGCTTTGTTTGTTATTAGGTTTGTTAAGGTCACGTGATCATTTATTATAAGTGCGAGGGAGACATCATGATATCAACGTCTCACTCGCACTTATCATAAATGATCACGTGACCTTAACATACTACAAACGGAGCCTATGCAAACACAGCCCCAGTAATAAATTAACAAGTACTTAATTTAAAAAAATGTTTATTAAATGGGCTTACACTAGATTGCATAGTCATCAATAAATGTGTGTGTGTGTGTATTGACCTGAAGGCTGAATAACTTATAACTGATAATTAATAGAATAATACCTACTAAAGTTTTCTATTCTGATAAATATTTTGTAGAACCCGCTGTAAGGAGTAAGCGACATGTACCGAACAACAAGAACGGAGCACTGGACCAAAAGTCACTAGACAAAAGTTACTAGATTCTCTCACTCAATAATTAAATTCATCATTTACAAACTTTGTGACATTTAATTACATTAATTTATATACCTCCGTAATTCGCGAATGAGGAGGAATCGAATCGTACAGGTAGAATTGGATTTTAACCCAATTTAGCACTTAAAACAAAGTTTTTTATACTTCAGCGCCGCGCCCACTTTTGACTTTTTATTTTGCAAATATCTCGCAAACTATTGATCCGCAAATAAAAATTCAAGTAGAGGATAAATCCGCAAGTAAGGAGGAATCGTTAAAGCCCTAAATGGGTGCAAAATATTAATATTTAATATTTACGGGCGCCAACTTCACAAGTCTCGAGTGTGCGATAGATACCTACGTTCGATGTTGTGTCTTTTTCTATTTGTGCTTCAGTGCCGTACATAGAAACGAATAGTCTATTTTTATATGCCTACGTCTGGTTTCATCTGTTACGCTGTCGCTGTCCCTTGACTTGGGCCAAAGCCGCTCAGTGTAAACGCGGCCTTACACTGATCTATTCACGTAATAAATATTTATTCAAAATGTGGCTTTTAAAAGACGTGAAAGGTAAATCTTCAGTTTGAAAGAAAATTTACTGGATTATGTTATAACTTTATTCTGTATTTTGGTTTATCTTAGGAAAAATCAAATACCTGAAGCCGGGTGAAATTCTACAATTTGGCAGGAAACAATCAGATATTGTATTAGCTAACGACACTTCCATTAGCCGAATACATGCTACCATCAGTGTTGAACTGAATCTTGAATTAAAGGTATGAACATAAAAAATATACACGCTTTATTTTAAGTTGTGTTTTAATCGTTTGGAGATTTTAAAAACCAAGCATTATATTGACACGAATACCATAAAACTTAATGTTTTACTCAAAGCTAAATGCCAATCTTGCTATTCAGATAAATAAAATTGTAAATGTATGCCGTTTTAAGTTAGTATTCGTTAAGTTAATTTTTTTGCTGGAGGTATAGTTTAACTACTTATTGTATACTAATTATTATGCATTTAAGTTTAGAAGTTTTGTTGGTATATATTACACTTGTGACTGAATACACTTTAACATTAACAGATATAAGAAAAATTTCAAAAAATATTTTGTATGAACCTTGCTTAATTTTGAATATTTTTTTATCACCAGTCATCTGAAATGTTGTCTACCTGCATTGTTAAAGATGCTGGTTCAAAATATGGAACTTTTGTCATACGAGATGAAATTCTTCTAAAGGCTTCAAAGGAAGGAGTAAAGTTGAAACCTTCAGATAAAATTAAATTTGGACTTCAGCAACATATCTTTACGTAAGTTTTTCATTATAATTTTTTTTTTCCTTTTAATGTCAGCCTGATCCTTTTACAAAACTAGAGTGAAGTATGCTGATGCTCAAAAATCAAGGCTCTACTAAAAAATATTGCAACAAGTTGTCACCTTGTTACACACAAGTTTTTCAAGGAAGTATCCCCTTTATTGACTAGATTCGCTGTAAAAAACTATAGTACCGGCATAGTTTTCAATGCGTTGTGTACATGTATTTTCGTACCTGCGGCCGTAAAGTCAGAGAATATAGAATATACTCCTTTTCCCGATTAAAAATTTTATTGGGCTGCCGAAGTTAGACGTGTGGCCCAACGCAGGCAGCCCAGCTTGGGCACAGATTGGCTTTTAATGGGGCGCAGACTTGGGCACATGCTTCTCCCCAGCCACCGCCTGATTTCGTCTACATACTTTATGTACAATGATATACATATATGTATGACTTGCACGAGCGTTGTGTGCGTATATGTGTAATTAATTGGTGCGGTCGCACACCATCAAATGTTCCATGCTATACATAAAATCGTAATAGGGGAAACTCAGTGAACTATTAAATCAGAGAGTCCTATGCATCAATTAACGACACTAATTTCTTAGAGTACTACAAGATGATAATGAATCATTTTTCTATTGGTCAAATAACTTCCTTCTTGTCAAGATTCTACTAAAAATATCGAAAAAAAGACTATTCCTGCAAGACATGTACTTTAATTTTTTCCAAAGCCATTCTTGAGGTTTAGTAAATAAATAAAAAAGTTGGTTAAAATATATGTTTACACGATTCTCATTTAAGATTCACCTGATATTTACAAGTGTACTCGCATGCATAAGGTTCATCGCGAGTATGGCTAGATATACACTGGAAGCATACAAAATCAGGCGGCGGTTGGGCAGAAACTTGGGCCCAAGTCTGCGCCCCATTACAAAGATACACTTGGCCCCATCTTGGCTAACTGGGCACCATGATTAGGGGCAAGCTGTCGCCAATTTTCAATTTCCAATCGGGTTGCATATAAGGTCAGATCAGCCGTTTTCGCGTCCGCAGCATTTTATCTTGATATTTTAGTTTTGCCCCCCATAATTCAGGCAGCGTTGGTGTCGGAAGACAACCGGGTAATTACTTACCCACAGATGCCGATAACTATTACCCTCCGATCAGCACGCAGTGTTGGTGAAGAGGATCTTCGCGTACCCCCACCACTATCGTAACTTTCCGTTGGAAAAGTTCCGAAGACAATCAGAGCAGACCTACAGCAAGTATGCAGGGGAAGACATTTCTCCTACGGTTCCCTTATACTAAGGCTTCTTAGGTCAATGTCCCCTAATCTAGTGCCGAACGTAAGCGCGAAATTCAAATAAAGTCCAACAACGTAAACGCCTATCTCCCGATGACCCAGGATGCTTACTGGCCACTCTATTAAATAATTGATTACTCACTAATAACACAAGCGCCTATCACCCGATGACCTGAGGCGCTTACTGGCTACTTTGTTAATTAATAAATTATTAACTGATAACACAAGCGCCTAACACTTAATGACCTGGGGCGCTTACTGCCTACTCTGTTGAATGATAAATTATTTGTAAATAACACATGCGCCCATCACCAGATGACCCGGGGCGCTTACTGGCCACTCTATTAAATAATAAATTATTAACAAAAAACACAAGCGCCTATCACCCGATGAGTCGGGGTGCTTACTGCCTACTATGTTAAGTAATAAATTATTAACTAAAAACACAAGCGCCTATCACCCAATGAGCAAGAGCGTTACTGGCCACTCTAATAAGTAATTAATTATTAATGAATAACACAAGCGCCTATCACACGATGACCAAGGGCGCTTACAGGCCACACTATTTAATCATAAAATGTTAATTGATAACACATGTCAGCACTCAGTATTTTAAATAATTGTTTAATATGACAAAAATTTTTGGTAATTGACGATCTGGTTATTAATTATCGTCTTGTTATTTAGTAGAGTGGCCAGTAAGCGCTCCGGCTAATTGGGTGATAGGCGCTTGTGTTATTAGTTAATATTTAATTATTTAGTAGAGTGGTCAGTAAGCACTCCGGCTCATCAGGTGATATGCGCTTGTGTTATCGATTAATAATTTATTATTTATCAGAGTAGGCAGTTAGCGCCACAGGTCATCGGATGGTAAGCGCTTGTATTATTAGTTAATAATTATTATTTAGCAGTGTAGGCAGCAAGCACTCCGAGTCATTGGGTGATAGGCGCTTGTGTTATTAGTTACACATTAATTATTTAACAGAGTGGCCAATAAGCACTCCGGCTCATTGGGTGATAGTCGCTTGTGTTATTAACTAATAATTAATTATTTAATAGAGTGGCCAGTAAGCGCCCTGGGTCATTGGGTGATAAGCGTTTACGTTGTTGGACCTTATTTTGATTTCGCGCCTACGTTCGGTACTACTTTTGGGGACATTGACCGAACACGCCTTAGGATAAGAAAACCGTAGGAGAAATAAGTCTTTCCCTGCATACTTGTAGTAGGTCTGCTCTGATTTGCTTCGGAACTTTTCTAACGGAAAGGTCCGATAGTGATGGGGGTATGTGAAGATATTCTTTGCCAACACTCGCAGCACGAAAAAATGCCTGTTTATCAGTATCTTATATATTACTGATTTTTGATGCAAAACTACTAAAAATACGTCTAAACAACAATTAATTAATAAAATATCGAGAATAAAACTTTGAAAAAAGTTGTACATTAATTTTTCTCGAAATGCATATCAAAAGCTTATGCAGGGGCACCTAAGCAAATTCTATAAAATCTTATAGAAGATCGGCATAGTCGTTGGTTCTGAGGTAAAACTTTTGCTTTGAAACCCAAAGTTTTTGGGAGCAATGCACTGTTTCCAGCTTTTTTTTATTTACTTCTGTATTTTTTTATGAAGCGTGAGACAATTTTTTAAATTATTCTTGTGTCTAATATTTTTTAAATAATACATGTAGTGAATATCTTACATTTAATTTCCATCGAAAAGAAACAAAAATCATTCACAGCACAGTTTAACACACATGAATGTATATTGTAAAAAAATTAAGACTTTTAAATTTAGACATAAGCGTGCAAAAAATGATTACACTGTAGAATTTTCTGTAAATTTAATTTATTAAATGGTTATTCCTAAATAAAGTTTTGGAGTATTTTAATATTTTCTTTTATTAACACAATTTTTATGAAAAATATTGCAGCCGTGTCAAAGTTGATTTTGATAATTTTTGATTATAATTTGGCTGTGGATGAAAGTTTGCTAATGTCGCAAAGCACTAACAAATTTGAATTAAGCCTTTGTGACGTGGTAAAGTCTAGTGTAAATTATTGATTTAAAAAACCAAAAAAATTTCACAGCTCGCAACACAAGTTCAACGTGATGCCCTGAACAGCTGTTAAAGCGTTATATTGACAGTTAAATACTTTTTATACTGATTATTATGCAATTAATTTTATGATATTGTCTGTGAGTAGCTCTGTAAAAATAGTGTAAACAAAAACAAATGTTAAGTTTTTTTTAGAAAATGACTATTACAATAGTGTTTGCGAATTTCGAGGCAGCTTTTCTGTAGGTGGATGTCTTTATAACTCTAATACTACAATACAAGGCTGAAAACCATTAAATTCTATATGTAGAAACATCTTAGGATGTCATTATAACGAAATTTGGATGGAATTATCAAAAATACAATTATACCATTGCATAATTCAGCACCTTCAGACTTGTCATTCTTGTTTACGGGCATTGATTCATATAAACGTTCACACTCGGTATAAGGTGCAATTCCGTGTTCATTAATATTGGTACATTTTTAATCACGTGATTTTTGGAACAGGTGTGATAATAGTTCTTTTTTTCTTTTTTAAAGTGTCTCTGAAAATAGCTTCATTGCCGATTTTAGTTATGCACGATGAGTTATCAGTTTTTGGAATGTCGAAACTACTTTCTGTCATCCATAACTTCACTTTTTCATAGTAGTCGATTTCCTCGGATGGCAACTATAAATAACGATAACTAGTTAACAACGCAGAAACTGAAAATTTGAAGTGCACCGAAAATGTTTATAGATGGATTATTATATTGATTATATTGATTATGTGATTATACAATGATTTTTTTTGCGATAACAGATTTTACTTTTTTGGTAAAGATCTTGCTCTGTATGCAATGTCAAAATTAAAAAAAACAGGAGAAAACATCAGCTTATAAAGAACGGAAAAGAAAGGAAATAGGTTTTTGGTGTCCAGACAAACAATGATAAATGATTTAAAAAAATTATTGTTTGTTAAGTCGATTACCAAAAGTTTTTTGTTCCTTGATAGTTTGATGAAATACATTACATCCAAAAACTGTGTTCAAGAGTAGTCATGATGTATCTCACTACATGTTTTTAGCCCTATTTACATTATTTTTCATTGAAAGTACTAATACTCTGATCTTCTGAAATGTTGGTACGTAACTGACAAATCAACCTTAAATTGAATCAAACCTCGTCATTATATATATATATATCGTAAACGCC